TGTAAGCCTTGGAGTACTGAGTACACTTCAAACATGGAAATGTTATGTCATTACATGTCATTACACTTTCCTGTCGTAAAGAGTGTGGCTACAACACTGTCTCAGCCAGTCAGTCGAGCTAGTCTACTGGCCCGCCTGCTTGCCAGTCAGGTATGGAGCAGCGTGCAGCAGCTGATCTTCCTTTGCAGGACAGGCATACATGTCGAACAAAAGTCTGGGCGGCAACATGTTGCAGCATGTCTGCAAGGCTGAAAGCTATGTTGGACGTGCCACTGCCATTCAACTTTGCCTCTGCAACATCTTGCAGTCGGTGTTTGGCTTTGCCCATTTGGACATGTAACGTAACTAGAGTTTGCCGTTCACCTGTGATGTCCGCCAGGAATCATGTTCATGCTGGGCAACGTTTTGCAATTCTCCACCAGGCAACAAGGCCGCTTGCTCGACAACCAATGGCAATCATGATCCAAACATGAACTCATCCACATGATGTGATCAATAACAGAACATGTCCACACAACTTGCGTGAGGCGGTTTGACAGCCAATGCGCAGCTATAAATGGTGCTGCTACGTTGGCTTCTGCACCGCTTTCGTTTCCTGCTCCTATCCATTGGCATCATTGCTGCACCCCCAAGGCCGGTCAGTGCCACTTGACGCATGAGCAGTGCTGCGTTTCGGCACAAGCGGCCAGTGAATCGAGCTAGGCTTCCTGAGTCTTTGCCCAAAGCCATGTTTCAACTTGACCTTACACCGATAAGGGATCTGCCTGCAGGGTGAAAGCACAGTGCCCGCATGCACTAAGTAAGCTCTCCGTATCATACTGACATCTTGCAAGAAAGACAGGGTAATGGAGAACAACAGAGAGAGGATACTGACGTGATGCCGGTTCTGACGTGGCCTGATGTGCTTTTGTGACTCTCTGCAGTGTGTTGCGGTAACATATCCACAAGGAGAAAGGCTATCCATTGGATGATGTTTTCGCCTTGGCCGCACCTACTTGGCTGCGAAGAATCATTGGGTACCTTGTGGACATCCACATTGCCGTCGTTTTGGAGGCTTCCTTCGTCTGCGCTATGTTCAAAAGGAGCACCAAAAGGGAAAACCACCATTTTGACCGTCCGCCCCCAAAAGAAAAACAGACACCAGAGGCGAATTTCTCAGCGGCCGCATGTACCCAGCGGCATCCTGGGGCAGCTGCAACTTGCCGCCCCAGTTGGCCAGGCCGAGCCACCTATGAGCCACCAAAATGAGGATGCGTGTTGTGGCATGTGGAGAGATGTAGAATCCCTGTGTAAGAAGGAATTCAGTGAGTGGAGTGAGTAGGTGGGTGAGTGAGGGCGTGAGTGCGACATTGACAAACTCACCAGTTTACACAAATAATTTGAAGGAGACCCTCACTGAAAATGCTAGTGTGATCAGCTTAACACACATCTTGATGTGCCAATCGGGTCAACTGCGGTTGATTGCGACGGGAGCCCTTGTGGGATGGTTGGCGCTTCTTGCGTGGCCAAGGGACCAACCAAAAAGGACAGCTATGCATGGAACACTCTTCGGCCTTCCAGAAAACCACCGTGGCGGTGCCCGCACCCGTTTCCCCCCCACTGCTCGCCCGAGGCGCCGCTTCGTAGAGCCGCGAAGCGCAGGGAGCCACCTGGCCATCGCTGACGCCACGCAGAAGGGATACCTGGACCTTCCGAAGTTCAAAGAAATTAGGCGTTGGCCTCAAAAACACCTGGTTCTTGTCGTTGGTATGGTCCAGGTATGGTCCGAATTCCCGGTTGACCCTTCTTGGGACAGGGCCAGGGTCAGAAATAGTTTGCTTAGACCTGAATGTTGTCCAGGAATCTTATTGCATGCTTGTGACCTCATAAGTCATGGGTGTTCTGTTGTGGGCAAGAAAGACAAGGAGGCCCTATGTCTTGCAACTATTTGGAAACCCTACATGGTCACAACTGAAGGGCTGAGCTATGAATCCAGGCCGTGCGAATGTGGCTTGTGTGGATCCAGCCCCGTAGAAATTCAAAGAGTACACAACAGGACGCAGCGGAAGAAACCACAAAGGAAATCGCTGCCCATCGCACCCAGAAATACAAGGCTAAGCTGTTGGGCCATCAGGTCAGATCCGGTCGATTCGCTTTGGGCAAGTGAGCATCAAGCTTGGCATGTCCTTTTGGGGAAAATAGACGGCCCTGGTAGTTGATTGAACCACCTGGTAAACCAGGGCCCTCCATTTTTAAACCAAATCAACCAACAAAAGGACACCTATGCCCAGCAGTTTCCAGGATGAACCCAGCAAGTATCCGCACGGAGTTTGGTGAGGTCTCAGAGTTGCAGAAGTGCGGGTCGTTGCTTTTGGTGGGAGCGTTGCTTGGCAGGAAATAGACGGATGGACCCGGCTTACAAACTTACTTTCAGAGAAGACACTCTATCAGGTGACATGCTTTTGTGGGCAGGCACTGAGAATTGCCGGCAGAACACAGGTGGGGCACATTTCTATCCTGGGTTGTTCTCCACAAATGTGCCTAAAGAAGAATGAACTGGCGTTCCTAGGTGGATCGCTTGGTGTACAAACCCATGGCCATGTGGGTAGAGTCAGCATAGAAACTGTCCATGGTGAATAGTTTGAAGCAATAAAAAGACACGATACTGTACCATTTGTGTCAAGCAGTATAGTGATCTCGGTTTCAATACATGATGCCCCATTCAAGTTGAGATGTATGGCTGCTGTTTGGATGCTGGCAATCTAGTGCATGCCTCCCAAAATTGGGGGGTGATGACCAGAGCTAGTTGACTCAGTTGTTCAGTGACCCTGGAAAAAAAGAGAACCCTTTTTCGGGAAGACCATTTTAGTGGGGCAGCCACCAAAAAAAAGAGGAAAAAGGGAGCCACTGAACAACTGAGTTGATGATGTTTGTTTTTGTTTCTTCTCCGGCTGTTGCAAAACCCACGGAAAGGGGGAGTTCCCAGATTCAGGACACTAAGTTGGTCCGTGTGAAGCCTTTCCTGAACAGTTTCGATCTGCTTGTCTCCTAGATGAATTCTAGAGATGGAGAGGTGGAAACCATCTTGGCCTATTTTTATGGGGGGACTTCCGAAGCCATGTTGGGGGGTCCCCGAAAGAACGGACACAAAACAACACCCATATCATATCTCCCACAGCCCCCCCACCTCCTGCAGCTCCCGTCGGAAGCGCTCGCAGGGGGTAGCCTCATTCACCTTCGCCGGGTCCGGCCTCGGGCGGGGTGCGGACTTGAGTGCCGGCGGGTGGGTTTGGCTGCCAGTTTGGTGGTGAACAAGGTTGAGGAAAAGGAAAGGGCTGATCTTACTGGCTCTCAGCAGGGAATGAGTTGGAATGAGACTAAGAAAATCCATCCCCGAGATGGTTTCCTTTGAGGAAAGGTTCATTGCCAAACCCTGGGTCATTCCCGTAATTGAATACTGCGGGAAGGGAATTGGGCAGGTTTTGGTGGTTTCAGTATTTCCCCTAGCGGAGTTGGTATGTGGAAACTGGTTGACTTATGAAATAAGCATGATCTTGGGAATGGGAGTGGTGGTGGATCTCTCGACAGCGTCAAGTGATGAGCCAGAGTTCTCAGCCATCAGCTTCCCCAAAATTCGTGTCACAGGCAGCAGGCCGGCCAACCAACGGGGTGTTGATCGGAGACGAACAGGAGTGTCAGCTCCTGTTCGCACGTGTTGTTTGAAAAACTGGGATATACAAGGGATTAAACATGTCCAGCATCAATCGATTTAGGTGCCCTCCACAATCCCCAAAAACCGTATACTTGGCACGCGATCTTCAATGATGAAATTGAAAGTGAGCGTACAACATGTGTGCCACTCAATGAGTGTTTTTTTTCCTGCACGCATGAGTCGCATGAGTTACAAGATATGTTGCACAATCACCTCCCATTCACAAACAACCACCAACCAAGTGGCCGGGCCCAGGCCTGCTGGGAGTCATGACAAGCAGATTTGCAGCATCCAACTCACGGCTCGCTCACCCGAAACTGGCTGAGGGCTGATGCTACTGTGGATGGACAAAATCCTGCACCTAAGAAGCCCTGGAATGATGATTCTCCTGTAAATACCAACAAACAATGGTTTCAACCATGGTTTTAAAGTGGTGCAGGATTTCGTCCATCCACAGTATCTTGGCCCCGGAGTGAATCCACAGCGAATCATCGGAGTTTGCTGGGTACTACGCGTGCCCAGCAAATCATTGGAGTTTTACTGGGAACTATGAATAATCCAATGCGCAAGAACTCGGCATTGCACAAGCAACTGGCTCCCGTTTTCAGCGCTGCAATCGATGGCTTTCGAGCCTTGCAAGCATGCGCAACTCATGCGCAAGAGCAAGAAAAGAGCGCCTGGGTTGAGAACTTCTCGACCGGCTATGTCAAACGTATTCCAAGCTGCACAACGGCAGATCCAAGAGTACCCCTGAACCAACAGGCAAGACGGCACAACTTCTTCTAAGCCAAACATGTGGACACAGGCAAAATCAACCGCTCCTCAAACAACCGGGACCATCGTCTGGGTCAGGTCTCTCCAAATAAGTCCTGGTAGGCAGAGCTTGTGAGGCTGAAGCCAAATGGGTGCCATGCAGAGCATTGGGGGCCCATTGTTGACCCCCAATGCAAGTGGCCTACGAAGGCAGGCAGCTGATTCCCGGGAAGGGTCCAGATGGGGTTCCCCTTCAGGACGAATTCGCGAAGGCTGAAGAGGACCTAGAAAGGTCTGGCCTATTGCCAGAGACAAAAGTGGACAGCCATGCGTGCGTGAGTCCAGTGCGACTGAACCTGCAGCCTTGCCCTGAGCCAAAGAGAACAAGTGGCTGTGGTTCAAAAATGGGTACCCATTTTGGAACCCCAGCAAATGGAACCAAAGACTACAACCTGCGGTCCTCTGGTGCTTTAATTTTGACCCATACCCAAGCAAAATTTGGCTACACTGTGCGGCGTTCCGCTACTCTCTTATGGCAGCAAGTTGACTATATGAAGCCGAAACAGCTCAACCCGAGCAACGGTCCTTGTGAACAATGGCTCAGGGCCCCTACCAAGCCTGGATTCGGTCCATTGGGTGCTTGGCTCAAAACCATCTTGTGCAACCATCCACGGTGCTCACACAACCTGATCCAGAATCTGCAGCAGGATGTCCCGAGAGGACACGATGCCCACGATCCGGGCAATGTCGTCCTTGCTGCAAACTGAAGTCACTAGCAAAAACAGCCCCTCGCGAAACTTAGCTTATCTTAGTCCCCCGTAGTCAACAGTTCAACCTCTTGCTGGAAAGGGCGAACAACAGAAGCCAAGCACAGAACAACACCAGCAGCAACAGCAAAGCACTTCAAACTCGGGCGTTGCACATCCAGAGTCTGTGCCAAGCAAATTGATGCATACCCAGTGGACAACTTTGGCAAAATGTCTCCCATTAAGTGATACCTATGGATTTGCGGGTGGGGGGGGCCACCAATGTCCTAATGAGCCCTTCATGGCTGTGTCATCGCTTCTGTTGTTCCAAGCGCAAATGGCAAAGTAAAAGGGGTAATTGAATTGACAAACATCTAACTGATGTCTGTTCAAAGCCTACGCTTGAAGATACCCAAGACACACCACAAATGAACGGCGCCTATGCAAGTTTGTGCATACCGTCCCCAAAACACAGGATTTTACGGTCTAAACAAATCTCCTGGCCCAGTATCTAGGGGTGATTAAAACAACTGACCTCAAAGACAAGCTGACCCTGAAACCGCCCTCTCCGAGCAGCTGAGGCCAAGAAAATGCGCTGAAGCCGACTATCCACCAAGCCTGGCGCGCCACTCGCTGCTTTTAACCCAATCCTACCAAGGTGAATCGCGATGCATCAAAATTCTCTGGATTAACAGTTGGCGGTCAATGCGAAACCGTCCTTGCGGCTTGTGGGGTACTCTAAAGCTATATTGAGTGATGATTGTAGAGGAAAACTGCTAGTATCTATTTAGCCCCTTCTATTGCCTGTCCTAAAAGTCAACGCACAAAAGTCGCAAGTGGTCCATCCAATGCCCAGTGCGTGGCAGCCTACACATTGCTGGTTTGCTCGCCGATCTGCTGCGAGCAGGTTCGGCCGTTGCGAGTTGCTTGTTCGTGTGAAGAAACAGTCCAGCGCACCATCTCCCTCTCATTTGCTCAAAGGACCCAGAAATAAATGGCTAACCTTTTGGGGCCAAAACAAAACATGGGCCAAATCAGGAAAACCAACAGGTCAAATTCGGTCGATTCGCTTTGGACAAGTGGGCCTTGTGTCAAGCAAAATCAGCGGACCGGTCCAAGGCAATGAACTTACAATCCTTCAAGCTGCTGCGTCGCCAAATGCCGTGACGCATTTCGGTGGGGCCTGTTTTCGGGGTTGGCTTAAAAGGAACGCCCAAAAGGAAAACTAGGATCCCCGCAAAAAAAAGAAAAGAAATCGGAGAGTCAAAGATGGGACCCCCTAAAACTCTCTTGGGGGATCCTTTGACACATCAACGGGTTGAGCTCGGCACGCTGTGCCAAGGTGTGCAGGGAGGCAGCCGCCATGACGCTCACTACCTGGGAAGCGTGAAATGGGCCCCGGCCCCCTTTTCGGGCTCCATCCGTTTTGTGGCAAATATGTACATACACATATATATATATATGCATGAATAAATATACAACTATGTAAATATATGTATGTATATATATATATACTATATATTTTGTATTTGTTTGCATATGCTGATATTTGGGGAAACCTTTTGAGAGGGGTCCCAGTGTTTTAACCAGAAAATGAGGTCAGTCAAATCCAGCACAGCATGCCCATGCCCTTGGCAGGCTGTTGAGATGAGCACCACAAGCGGGTCACTGGAACCTAAACACCTACCAAAGTTCAGCGGTTGCCTTTAACGGATTTCAATCCCAACTCAGGGCAGAATGCTTTGGTATGTTGCTGTGACTCAGAAGCGGGCAGATGAACCCGTGAAATGAAATTGAAGCAGTGCGGTTTGGATTTGAAGAGCCCTTTCAAGAAGGAATACGCTTCCTGCCGTTTGGTGAGATTGGGAATGTTAAACTGTGTGCGCAGCGGCTTTCAATGAATCCCGAACATTGAGGAGGGGGAGAGCTTGTTCCTACAGCACTTGATTATAAGCGATTAGTTCAGAAAGGCCTCCTGATTTCTGTATCACGCCATGGGAGGCTTGTTCCCAAAAGATCAACGGGATGTTTTTTTCAAAGCCCATTCACCTGGTCTGCACAACTTCACAAACATCATTCCCTGGATGTATTGTTTACAGACTGGTTTCCTTCTAGACTCCACTTTCACCACTTTGGTTTCGGCCGGCGCGAGGACGTCAAACGCTTTCCTTTGCTTCAGGTGCCAGTCATTCTCTCGCCTTCAGCCAGACATCCTTCAAACCAGAAACTCACGCTGAAACCAAAGGTCTCACTTCCCAAGTTGACTGGCCAAAAAAAGTCTGAAGTTCTTATTTACCACTAAAATGGTTTTTCCAAAAGTTTAAAGTCCATGAACTCAGGAAGTGAGAGGTAGAAACGCAACTCTCAAGCCAAAGGAACGAAACCAGCTGCTTCACCCAATCACATGGAAGGGACACCCCCCCCCAATCCCTCGCACCGAGGCCCAAGCGTTGAAGCGCTGGAGCCGCTGCTGCCGCAAGATGTGGTCCAAACTCGCCTGACGCTGCTCCAAACAAGACTGGCCTCATTGTCTTACCATGATCAAAGTCACAGCTAAGTGGTGGGTACCGCTAAGTGGTGGGTTGAAGGGCAACCACCACATTTCTTGACTTTGATAACCCCCAGAAACAGTCAAAATGATGACCCCAGCAAGTGCGGGAAGACAAACACGGCGGAGCAAAACGGCGGGGCAAAACCTCACCAGTTGCTCTACCCTGAGTGCCAAAGTCGGAAGGTTGCTGGGGTTGAACCCACAGGGCATTCTTTGCAGGGAATCAGAATTTTAGACTTGTGGTCTGTGTGTGAGGCTTATGGGTAGGTTCCTTCTTTGGAGGTTTCAGAATTTGCCATTTGGGTGTGGCTCAAATTAAACGATCGGAGGGGCAAACCGCAGGTTTTGGTCCATGTTTCCACGTACCCGGGTTGAATTTGGCACCGGTTTTTTGAGCCACAGTTTGTGGTCTGTGTTTGAGGCTTACGGGTAGGTTCCTCTTGCACCTATCCCTGTTGGTACTCTGCTAGCCTGATCTGCAGGTGTGCATCATTTGGGTTTATCTCAAGTTAAGGGTTCCCCCAAAACGGGCGGCAGCCTTTTTTTGTTTCCTTTTAAAACACGCCAACCTAAAGTACCCTTGGGTGGTTTCCTCCTTGGTTTCCCTTTAACACACTCCACAAAAAATGTATTCTTGGGTGGTTCCTCCTTTTTATTCCCTTTAAAACACGCCAAACAAATGGAATATTGGGCGGTTTCCTCTTTGGTTTCCGTTTAAAACTCCCCACGAAAGGGTATTCTTGGGTGGTCCTGTTTATCCCTTCCAAAGCACGCCAAACAAAGTACATCTGGGCAATTTCCTCCTTGGATTCCCTTTCAAACACCCCACAACAAAGGCTTTCTTGGGCGCCTTTATTTATTCCTTGTATAACACGCCAAACAAAGTACCCTTGGTTTTTGTTCCTCCCTTTTCCGTTCAAAACACACAAGAGGTACGAATCCCCATTCCAAGGCTGATGCCCCTCCGATCGCCGTCGCCTGCTCTGACTCGGCGCGCCAGGCTACGAAGTCCCCCACGGACCTCGCGGCTTTTGAACCGCGGAGGTTTCGAGAACAGCAACCTAAAAAAACAACAACAAAAACTGAAAAATGGGTTGTCCCACACACGACACCAAGCAACGTTTGAAGAACAGCGACTTTTGTTTGAAGATTTGGTTGAGCTTTCAACCAGAAGGCTATGGGATCTGAAGGAAAGTTTGGTGGTTGATTTCTCCATGGCTGAAAGCTATGGGATCTCTGCCCGGAGGGCAGTGGTCGGGTTCGGGAGGCTCTGTCTGGCTGGTTCCGCACAAATTCGCAAAGTTCCGGAAGGGTTCCGGGGCTTGTTGGCGACCCCATTCTAGTTTAGTCAGCCCCCTTGTCTACCCATACAAAGGGAATCGTGCCGTCTACTTTGTCCCTGGTCAAGTAGAAACCAGCTCCTTCTCTGGAGACTACAGCAATACTTGGGTCTAACCCTGGCGGCCACTGCCCCAAACCACTAAACGAAGAAATGCTGTCAGTTCCATTCTATTCTGGAAATAGTGGAGACTCTCTTCAAAGCACGGGGGGAGAGCACAGGATGCACAGGGCACATCTGCAAGCCAGGCGTCGGCCGGTCGGGGTAGCCATCTTGTGTGTTTGTGTTCTATCCACAGTTCTAAAGGTTGATTCATTCTTGGTTTTATTCATTCTTTTTCAGAAACCACCTGAATTCCTTGTCTAGCTATGTTCTGAAAAGAATCCTCCCAAGAAAGAATGGGCAGAGTGAAGCGTGGCCAGAACGCGATAGATTCAGATACAAGATTGGGAATCCATGACACGTCGCCGTGATGGCATAAACTGGGTGCACAGAAGAGGGGAACCAGCCAGGTATGTTGATTCGGGCTATGAAGCTGAGGCAACGGCATGTTCAGAGCTGCGAAGTTGCCCGAACCTTAGTAGCCCATTCTTACATTGGTTCGCCAATGAGGCTCCATTCACAAACCACAAAAATAACCATTCACAACCACACACCCATTAAAATCGGGCCACTCGAAAATGATCTGACCAACCTGAGAATCTCGGCACCTTAAAAAATGGCGCCGTGAAAACCAAAACCAAACCTCCTGACTCTCAGTCCGCGGCGGACGACCCATTTCCTTGGCCAGGGCAGGCAACCGCCGCACGGAAAGTTGGAGTTCCATGCGCATTGATACATGGCCTCACCGTTGGCCCCTTGAATGCCAGGAAATTTGGCCGGCCTACGGGCTTTTGTACACTTGCGTGCCGACCCGAAAACATCGTTTAAGACCTGCACTCCACGCCTTCATCGAGCAATGTATCTTGAAATCTCGTTTGAACTCCTACCTTTGCATTGTTGTCCAACAGCTGCATCGGACTTTGTGTGGACAACCCCTCAGCTCCCTGAACATAATATCTGACCTTCCCAACCCTGCTGTCTAAGACATCTGCAACAAGAACACCTTCTAATCGGCGTGGGAAGTTCTGATAACCTTAAGCACGTCACTGGCCATCAGTGGCAGTTTCGCTTGGGGAACTGAAGGTGTGCTTGGATGCGTGGCATGTCTTGAAGAGGAGACACGCCCGCACATGCAGGCGGTTTGTCCAGAAACATGTTGCCCATCGGTTCAGGGTTGGCCAACCGCTGGCTTTGCCGCAAGCAGTTCAAACTGACATGTTCAAGCAACCTCACGTTGGTTTCCCAGAAAAAAACATATCCCATGATCCATTTGGTTGCAATTCTTAGATCCATGTTGCCCCCCCCAGCGACCTGACCTACCCTCCAGTATAACGTAGAACCCGCATGGATCCCTTTGAAAGGAACATGATCTTCCAGGACCCCAAACGGAATCGGATACGTCTCTCAGTTGCCCTTTTGGGACCCAGTTGCACAAAGGTCAACCCCTTGGGGCCACTAGAATTGGACCAAAGGAAAACCCAAGGGCCAGTACCCTGTCGATTTGCTTGGGGCAAGTACGACTAGTTCAATACTGAACCAATACCAACGAATGCAAAACGAGTACGCCGATCAGCCGATCAGCCAGCCAGCAGCGGCTGAGGCCCCAAAAGGCCAAACTCTTTGCGACACCCAAACATATTTTCAACCGGGGGGGGGGGGGAGGGGGGGGCAAAACGCAGTACCAATAGGTACATTAAGGGGCGGCAATAGACTTCCATTTGGTTAAGGCCTCAGGAAAAAATAAAATATGTCCAGTAGTGATAAACTCCTTTTGAAACCAACAAGGGGAATTTGTTTAAAACCAACAATATTCATTTCAGCAAATGGAACACATCTCTGGGGTACCAGGCGATGAAACAAATTCCGCTCCCGGGTTGGATCGATCCGATCCGATCCCAGCGGCAGGTCCGCGGCGGAGACCACGTTGCTGGCCACCACTCCGCCCATGGTCCCCGAGAGCTCCCGTAAGGTGATGGGGCAAATGGTGAGGCCTCCGGACGGATGGCGGATGGCAGATGGGTTCCCCCCCAACAAGTTCCGCAGAGATGAATTGGCGGTTGGGGTCAAGAAAAAGTTGCTTGGAGTCAATCAAGTTTCATAGAAAATTGGCTTGGAGTTGTTGTTCACCCATCAAAAAACAAGGGCTTCAAGTCCCAATCCAAACCACCATTGGGGGTAAGAGTTACAATTATCTCGCTGCAAACCATAGATGGAAATCTCCTGATCCGAAAGTCGATGGAATCGGCAACGAGTAAGGCAAAAAACTTGGGGGGTAAAACCTGCCATAGAGTTCGAGTGGTTCTGGCGCCAAGGCAGCATGCAAGCGCATGCAGACGCGCCTCACTCGTCCCTGACATGCTTTGTTGCCCAGTTCAACCATTTGCACTGGGAGCACAGTTCTCCACCGGGCGAAACCGCGCAACCCTCAGCTGGAATACCGTTTGAACGCCATTGCCCGCGGTTCTGCAAAAGCTGAAGCAAGAACACCGGGAACCTCCATCTCCCGGGCCCCGGTTCCGCTGGCATAAAATTGAACCAAACCAAAACCAAAGCATCTGTCGCTGCACCGGCACTCAGGAATGCCCCTTTGGGGGCTTCAAGCGGAAACCGCATACTCCAGTGCAGATTCACATGGAACCCCAATCCGTCACGAATGGAATTTCCTTTCGGGGGACCTCCGTGTTGGGTTCACTGTGCGCAGGAACCCAGCTGGCCGACCTCTCTTGGTCCCTGGCCTTCCTTCTCCATGATTCCCAGCGCGTTGAGCAGTGGCTCGTCCTGCTGCACCGAGACCTGCCAGTAAACAAAACGAGTTTGTTTGCTTTTTCTTCTTCTTCCTTGTTCTTTAATTTGGGGGGGAGGGGGAGGTGGAACTGACCAAAGCTCTGAAGGAAAGACCTGCGAGCACTGGGCTCTCCTCTACACACCGGCATGGAACCAACAAAAACTAGCATTAAAAGTTAGGAATCTGCTGGGGGAAGCCCAGAAATTGTGGATCTCATATTCCTTTGCAGGAGAGTCTACCAAACAAAAAACAAACACTTTGGATGGCTCTGCGGGGACGTCAAACAGATGACGTCAAGAGGAAACAATATGTGAGATGACGTAATGAGGATACAGTACATGGATTAGAGACAGGTGATCAATTCATTTACGTCAATTCGCTGTGCTACTTTAACTCCAAGCTTTACCGATAATATATGGCTATGAATTTTAATGGGGAACCCCCTGAACAGTGGTTGGTGGACATGAATCCCCTAAACGATGTCCACCAAAGGGTCCCTGATTAAAGTTCATACCCATATCAGTTACCCTGTCTAGTATCCTTGCCAACGAACTTGACCATGCCCCATGGCCACTGCTCCGGATCTGGCCTGCAGAATGGTGCCGCGGCGATCGAAGACCTGGCGCGTCTGTTGCAGCGGCCAGCCAGGCCGTCTTGTTTGTAGGGGACCCCCAGAATTGGTGGGTTGCCTTTTGGTTAAAACCACAACCAAAAGGGAACCCTGAAAAAACACCCAACTGAAGCGATGGCACTTGCAATGCTCCCTTCACATTAAGATTCAAGCTAAGGCAAAGAAGAGCTTCACCATCTGTCTGGCACATATACACACACACACACTGGTACAGAATATTCAGTACGACGAGGGCGTTCTCTTGTTTGAACTGATGTCTTCAAATAGCAAAGCAGCACCCAGTCCATCCTGTTGCCACCATAGGAGGAAACAGGTTATTACTTCTAGGCGTTACATGATGGTTTGTCCTGGTTATCTATAGAGTCGAGACGATAACCTGGAAGGTCTGGGGAACACATGCCGACTAGCACTCAGGCCCTTGTGTGATTGGCATGCTCCGCTGTGTCTTTTGAATCCCCGAGACTTCTATTCTGTTTGGGGGCAATGATCAGCTTGCCCCTAATGAGTGGTTTGGTTTGGTGGCTTGGTGGTTAAGACCAAACCACCAATCCAAACCAGCAACTGAGGGATACCTGAAATGAGAAAGAGGCACACAAGCACAAAACAACAGGAGCAACACACAAAAAGGAAGCCGGGGGAACAACCAAACCGGAACCTGCAGCACTGGACAGTCCAAAGTTGCATGCATCCAATGCGGACGCAGTGACCAGATTTCCGCGCTACGCTCGTGCTGGAATCCAAGCAACTGTCTTAGCCGAGGTTGCCTGCTCATGCCGCCAGCAAATGGAGAAAGGCTGAATGTAAACATCACACTGGTGTGTGTCTTCTTAGGGCCCCCCTCCCGAAAAAGAAAAAGAAAGAAAGTGATCGTCCTTTTGGTTTGCCTTGAACACCTCCAAACAAGGATACCCTCAAACACAGGCACATCGCACATGCTTGTCAGTGCATAGGGGATGTTGAATTTGTGTGCCATTGGCCCCGTTTCGAGACATTCTGCAAAAGTCAGACGTGGCGTGGCTGACACGTCGATGCACATCGGTGACCTTTTGGACACAAACTGATCCAAGCCAGTGCCATCTATTACTCCTCTATTTCAATCCAAAATAAACTAAAAAGGACACCTATGCCAATGCATTAAAGAGCTGCAAATTATCTACTTGCAGGTCACATTGGAACAGGCCACCTCAACTTCAATAGAGATGCATCCAACAAGCAATGTGGGGAAGGGGTTGTCAGTGTATAATACATGTACGTTTTGTAGGACCTGCATGTCTGCTTAATCGCTTGACACTCCTCACAAATCCATGCCTCCCTGCCTTCGCCGACAGGGACTTCAGCACAGCAGTGGGCGCTGAGCACTTGAGGGCAAGGTTCAGGAAGTCCAAGGACGAAAACACTGTGACCTTGGGCAATATAAACCATGCGACCTGCAAATTAAATGGGTGGTGGCTGTCCCAGAGATCTGATTTGTCTGGTTTTCCGCACAAAAAGCAAAGCTCTGCTGCCCAGCGGCCATGGGAAAAAAAAGGGGCACCCGTTCTTTGTTGGTTGAGTTTAAAGGAATCGGAACCCTTACCCAAAAAATAGTTGAAAAACGGAAGCAACAAAGATCTCCAGAGGTCACTCCGGAGGTTCGAGAAACGGAGGCAAACGCCGCAGATCTCAGCAGTCGACGAGGGAAAACAGTGAGCTCGATTGGCAAGGAACACAAGTTGTTGACAAGCGTTTAATTTAGATGGAATGGATTTACCCCCCCCCCCCCACCAAATCAATGCACTCAAGGGATTGTTGAGCAGACAGTACGCTCGTTCTGCTTGACTGGGCTGAGTAACAATTGAAGGTCATAAAGCGGATCTTTCATTGTCTCCACTACTTGGAGCTGTGACGATCATGATTCAGCGCTTCAGCAAACAAGAACACGCTCTGTTGCTGCATTTCAATCTGACTGGTCTGCTTGCGGCGGCCAAACCAACATGGATCGCCCAAAACAACCTTTGTGTCATTTGGCTGTGTCAAAAATAGGTACCCAAAATGGAACCGTGGTAAATGGAAACATGGACGATTCAACCTGCTGTCCGATTCCTGGTGGTTTAATTTTGACCCACACCCATTTATTTTGTCTTTCCGATCTGCTCGCAACTTGCGCATACCAAGATGCTATCTCACCGTCGGCGTCCACCAAAGGAACCCGACGCACAGGCCGACCATTTCTCTTTCCTGCAGGTGTTCAAGCCCCATATGCGCCTGTTGACTCCCCAAAGATCCCCAACCCCTCGGTAGCAACCTGACAACCTCAAAACCACCAACACCGCTTCTTCTGTCTGACGGGCGTTGGCGGTATCGAGATCCAATGTGATTCGACAGTGGATGGTCAAGACTAACATTCAATGAAATCGAAATACAATGCGATGATGGGGTCAGCGATGCCGAATGAGCGAGGATGATGCAGGACATTTCGGAAGGGCAAGTACAAAGCCGAAGTGAATTGTGATTGATGGCCTGGATGGTCTTGAACTCCGTACCTAGTTGAACTTTTTGCCGGTGAGGCAAATAGTCATTCTCCCAAACAAGTTGAAGGTCACACCAAAAAGCAACCACGCGGTGTGCTGGAATGTCCTTGCCTGCAATCAACAGGATCACGTCCCGTAGTGGTGTCGCGACGTTCGCAGGCACATATTCACCTGGACATGCGCCCAGTTGTTCAGTGACGCTGGTAGAAAAAGGGAACCCTCTTTGGAGTTCACCAGCTTTCGTGGCAAACCCACCCACACAAAAGGGAAAAAGCGTGCCACTGATCTGAACAACTTGGAGTATGGTGCAAAAAAACACCTGCTCCGAATCCCCAATAAAATAAGTTGCATTTTGCTTTCCATTCCCAATGCAGTAAGCAAATTACGGCGCCCTCTCGGTGATCCTAAACATCACGACGCACATCAACGCCATAGCCCAGCCAACACCGCCCTGAGTCAGGTCCTAAACCAAATCAGAGAACTTTGTCAGCTGTAAGCATACGGAAATGTAACGGTGCGGGGTAAAGAAACCAAAGAAGGGCCCCGAGCAAGCTTGAAAGCAGGCATCCCAAGCCCTGCGAAGAATTCGCACCTCACGTTTTCCGAACTCAGGTTCCGGCAGAACTGGGAGCAATTGGCGATGGTGCCAACGTTGGCCTGACGAAACACGGAGCAGAGCAGACGATCGGTCAGCAGGCCTGCTGGCCGGGTCGCTTGTCTGCGGGCTATATGATGCTATATGGCATCAAACATGCGTGCACGTCAGTCCGGCAATTCAAACAAACAAACATAACTGAACAGGCCGCCTTCACGTGCTTCAGGCAACGGACAATGTAAGTGAATCATTCACTGGGATGGTGAATTCCATGATGTGTTCAAGACAATATTGGTTGCTACATATTCAAGACAATATGTGGTAAGGGAATTCTTCATTCAGCTGGTGTGCCGCTCAAGATACCATTGCCAATATACATTCATATGCTGCAACGCAAAGGCACGATAGTTTTGCAAAGCTTCAAAGGCGTCATCGACATTCATCGACGACATGTGCCACCAACTTGGCACGGGTTCACCCCCGCTGCGCCTTGCAGATTCGGCTCATGCTCTCCGCCACCGAGCCAAAGGGAGCGTCCTGCGGAACGCGAAACCCCAATTGGGATGGGCCGGCAAGCAAAATGGCGGAAGATAACAAAAAACATGCTAACACCAGTATCTGGATTCTCAATGCACTGCAAGTATAGTGGAATGGATGATCGGAGCGATCCAGGGTGCATTCAGCAGCAATGAGACGCTCAATGCGTGCCAGCTGTGGATTCATCTGTTCAGCTCTTCTTGCAAGCAAGATTGTGTCAAGTGCAAAACCAGGCATCGGCGCAAATATGTTGCTTTCCTTGGAGACAGTGGTGAGGAAATTTGGAACAGTTCTTCTTGTTTTCAGTGTCAAAACAATTTGGTTGCCCGTCCAGGGATGAGAAATGCATGATCCCATACTAAACTAACACTAAACTACTGCATAATTCAATACTAAATACTAAACCAATAGCTAATTCAAAACCAATAGTACGCCGATCCGAGCCAGCAAAACCGACTGAGGCCCCAAGCAGCCAAATTCTTTACGACACCCAGACATGTTTTCTAATAATGAATCTTTAAGGGACGGAAATAGAGAAACAACAAAACATCTGGGCCAGTACCGAGGAATACTAAACAAATACTAAACCAATTCTAAAGACTTCTGAAGCAGTGCAAGGGAATGCCAAACCAATACTAAACAAAATCTAATCAGTAAACAGTACTACCCAAACAATTTTAAACCAGTACTAAGCAGTGCTTACTGAGAGACTACTCGAGTAGGCCAAACTCTGACCCCAATTTATTTTTGTTGGTGTTCCCCTAGCGCCCCCCCCAAATTGTTTGAGGAGTATGTTTTCCTGACGAATCTACCACTGCATTCGACAGCGATCCCTGCTCCTGCAGCAGTTTGTGGTTGATGTCCATGTAGTCAAAGAACCTCAGCACACAAATGGCTGCAACCATATGGACAATGCAAGCCTTCCCACAAGTGGTTCAACAGCGACAATGTGCTTTCCACAATCAACGTGATGACCGATGTAAGGAAATCACAAGAAACAAATCAAAACAGTGCTTTCCTTCCACCAACATGACCAAGTTAAGCAGATACCAAGAAAACAAAGCAACACAGCCACCGAATGCCCATCTCGCCATGCCAAATGGGCTACCCTCCCTCCGACAAACATAGCATTTGTGGGCGGGTGCCTGGAAGATCTCTTCAAGGGACAATTTCCCTGTCAGGTGTCATGTGGGAGAGAGGGTACTTTCAGAGCGCAAAGAGGTTCTGCTTACTTGCCCAAAGCACCTGGAAATACAAGGTTCACCTTTTGGGGCCATGATTGCAAACAGAACAACAGGAACCCAACAAGGTCAAAAGGTCGCTCTGGACAAGTGGGTCTGACAAAACGGGTTGAGGTCACCAAAGATATTTGGCTGTGGGTCAAAATAGGGTAACCCCAAAAATGGCTTGCCCTGGTACATGGGAAAACATGGACGACTAACATCTGCGTTCCATCATACCCTGGTGGTTTAAGTTTGACCCAGCCCCGCCAGGTTCCATTTTGGGCGACACATTTTGAGCGGCCCATGCCCATTCGACCCCCTTGGCCCTGTCCAAGCTGCTGCCTGCGGCCGTCCTTGTACCGCACCAAGGCCCATCGCCGGTGGTGCCGCGCCATCACGGAGACCACTTGCCGCACCTGGCGACAGGGCCATCGCCAGTTGGAATTGGAACGTGCTGGACTTTTTGGGGGGCCAAGAGGCGACTTCAAAATGGAGTTCTGCCAGGAGTCCGACTGGGGGGTCTTGACCCAAGACTCCACTTTTTTACTTAGGATTTTGGGGCTTAGACGTTTTTGTGAGACTTTTGAAGGAGTCTGGGAGTATGAGGGTGTGTTGGTTCTTCAAAATGGATGGGACCACCAATCCAAATCCGCAATCCGCGGACGTGATACAACTAGAGGGAAAGCCACGACCATCTGACAGGATTGATTTGGAACCAAGTTTCTAGAGGCTATCAAAGTAAAATCAACCCAAAACAAAGCACAGTGGACCCTGGTAGCAGATGCCTCCTCTGACTCATCGAATTCCAGGGTCTTGGGGACGGACTTGCTCGCCCGCTTCCTGAGCCATGGTGGAAGCAAAGCAACCCGCTCAAGCCCAGTATTCAACTTGCAGCCAGTAGCTAACCAGGCGAATTGGTGCCAACATTTGAGTCTCAAACAGCAAGTGGTCAGTAGTTGTTGTTTGCCTATACTGAGGCAAAAGCTACTTTTACTGTCTGCTGGAAGGTCCTTGGTGTTAAGTGGCCATGGAAGATGTAACAAGCGGCAGTGCGCGCTTCAGTGCGCTGTCCGATGGTTCTCTTGCGCGCAACGGCTGGGTGAAAATTTCGTGGCATGGCACATGGGCAAAGAGAGGCAAACACGGAACAAATCTGGCCGGAAGGGTATCGGCTCAAACGTGCCTGACACAGTGGCTCAGGTTGTAGCCTGCCACTCTCGGCATCCAACACACAAAGGCTTGCATGGCCGTGAATTTTAACTGGGGACCCTTTGTTGGACATCATGCAAAACTAGGCGGGGATTCATCCTCATGAATCCCTGTGCAGGCAGTGCGAACAAAAAAGCTCAACCGGCCAGAGGGTTTCTTGGCCGTTGCTCATGTGAGCGCTCATGTGTGGTCTGCAACCATCCCTTTGCAACGTGCACATCCCGCAAATGGGTTCGAAAAAGGGCGCAAACTTCAACATGAAACGGGCCCTTAATTCGGGTAGCAACATGTGCACAATGTCATGTGAAGGAAATCCACTGCGCCTTTAGAGCCAGCTTGGTTTTTCGGGCCGGTTCAAGCTGACGGTTTCCAAAAAAGTAGCCATGTGGCTGTGGGTGAAAAATGGGTAGCCAAAATAGAAGCGTGGTAAATGGAACCAAGGACTCAAATCTGCGGTCTGGTGGTTTAAGTTTGACCCACACCCATGTCTTACCTCAACCTTTTCGTGCCCTGAGGCCTATCACTTATGGCCAGCGATCCCGTAAGCTCAGATCCTGACGGGTCCCAGGGTCCAAGGATAGTCTGATCTGAAAGCAAAGGAATCTCAAAGCACAGATCATACAAGCCACAGTGAATACTCATTGGGTGTTTCCATCATTGGATTTTGAGTGAAAAATATTCAGATCCGAATCTTTGGTGTGGTTGCTGTTCTCTGGCAAGTCGCAGCAGCTGGAGGTACTGGAAGATAGGCTTCGAGGGGCTCCAGTGCTCTTTCCTGGGGCCCCAGCAGCCGGCCGCCCCACTGGAAGCAAATCGAAACAGAAATCCGCAGTCCCTGCGAGGTCCCTGTCCTTCCTCATCGCATTGGGGCGTGACATTGAGTCGAAAAAGGACGGTGAAGATCGCTAGGGAAGAACCCACAGCGTGAAGGACCTGTGGAACCGCCCCCCCAGTAGAGGACGCTCCCTCCGCCAAGTGAGACACCTGGCTCAGAAAACATTATATATATATATATATTATGTTTACTATATTTTAGCATGCATGAGGCATGGATGTTTGCGCATCAAACCTGGGGAAGAACACTCCTCCAGTCCAAAAAAGCAGATGTTTCAAGCTCAGCTTCCTGGGCTCCATTCCACTCTCAGACTCGACGTTCCTCTTGGTTTGCTTTCAGCTTCAACGCTCACAAGGGCCCGACGCAGCGGCTCGACGGCTCGACGGCTCGACGGCTCGAGTTTGCCCGGCGGCGGCCGCAAGGGCGAGTAGACCTCGTTCTCCGCGGACTTGCTATCCGCATCCGCAAAGACGTCCTCGACTGCTTCAAGCCGTGCCCCAGTTCTCTCGCACTTCGCGAGTTTTGGTTCCCGCTCTGACCGTCTGGCAAATGACGTGTCCGGCAAATGGAAGCCCTACACCTGGCATTGAGACTGCAGGTTTGGCTCACACCTGACAGCCTGACAAGGTAGGCAAACGGAAAGAGGTCCATTGCATCGCAAATCCATTTTGGGGCAAACATGGATGAAGCACCCGGCGCCCGCTATGTCTGACCAAACCGGCTTTTCGCCGGGGTCCTCCATGGGCGGAAGCAACACCGCCATGAACTCGCAGTAGCTCAGGGACTCCTGACGACTCCCCGAGCCGAGCCCTCCCCTTTTGGCAGAAACATGCCAAGCATAGGTGTCCTTTTAGGAAATAGATGGCCCTGGTAGATGATTAAACCACCAGGTAAACCAGGGCCATCTAGTTTTTCCAATAAAACAACCAAAAAGGACACTTATGATACCAAGGTTGTTGTTGCAAAGTCAGCAAAAGACTTGTGTCCAAACCGAGGTCTGACACCAGGGCCATATTTAGTTTCAACCACTTTTTTCCTGAGGGGCACCTAGGACAAACTTGCCGATCAAATCTGATGTGGTGGGTGTGCTGTTGTAGGCAAATGGTGGCATCTGAGTTGGAAAACATATGCACTGGCAAAACTGAGGCGCTTCAATTTGTTGTCCAATTCTTGGCCGCTGATGCAAATACAGAAGCCGCTAAACAAACCATCTTTTGCACGCACAGCCAAGATTGTCTTGTCACAACTTTCCTGGTTCAATTGCCACCCATGATTGTTCACAATTATACTGCTTGAAGGGAGGCCTTGACTGTCAACCACATGCTTTCCGGAAACTCCATTTGCACATCGCTCCAGGACACAACCGGATACACGACCGTTGCTTTTGAGGCGTCCCCTTCATGATTTGTGCTTCCCTACGCCATTCACCAAGCGGCTTGCTGATTTCAGGAATCCGCAGGAACCTGCATGAATCTGCTTGGGGTGAAAATTTCCAGGTTACCCACTAAATGGCGTTTTGAAGGGAAGCCGCCAAAGTAATTTTGGAAAACCCATGAACATGATCTTTGTTGGGACTCTTTGGCATGGGTGTGGATTTGTCTGGATTTCTGTCCAGCAACTTTTCATCAGCTTCAGCCCCAATTGGTGCTTTGGAGCCGAATCCGTGGTTTGATGGTGTTCCGCGGTCCTTTCCCATTTGCCCTCTACAAGAACTAGGGCGTCTCAAATTTCCAGGTCCAAACCGCTCAGTTTCCCGTTCAAAACCAACCAAAACAAGGCAACTACCACCAAAAAACAACGGCACACCCAACTGGAAGCTGAAATTTGAGGTAGGCACACGGGACCCATGCCGGTCCTGCTCCCCGCAGACCGCCTTCCAAAGCTTCGCGATGTCCGCGCGGATGGGGCCCTGGGAGTTGTCGAAGGTGTTCTCCGGGTTCCTTCGCGGCGAAACGAATTCCCCCCACCTCGACTTCTCAAAAAGGAAAAAAACAACATGCCGAAACTTTTGAGTGAGGGGAAAAACGAAAAGAGCAACATGGTGAAACTGTTCAAGGGAGGTCAGTTGGACATAGCACTTCAGGCTCAGTTTAGTTAACTAATCAGTTGACAGTGACTCAGTGCCATCCACGTTTCCAAGAAAACGCCTTGGTGGGGAACCAAGTGAGGCTCCTCAAGAGCCAATCGACTCGAAGCCGCGTGTTTCGGCAATAGCTTGTCCCAAGTTCCCAAAACAATCACTAAAGAGCCAAGAGTATTCCTGCATTGCTACAGGCTCAAGGTATGTCATTCATCAACAAGCAGGGGGATGCCTGCCATATATAGAGCTCACCAACAGTCAAGGCTATCGTGTTGGCCGCCGGCTGAGGCTCCAACAAACTGGTCATTACTGACACATGTGCCATTCCAACTTTTTGTCTGACAGCAATACAGAACTTGGGAGTGCTTCAAACCAGGTGACAAACAACTACTACCGAGCAAAACCGGTTAAGAACTTCGGTTGCTGCCAAAGCACACTGATTTTCCGAACCAGAGATGGACCGCAAAACAACAACCCAACTGCACGACTGGTCTGTCGCTCTTTCAATCCAACACCGTCTCAACATTCCATGGCGTGTCAGAACTCAAGCCTGGAGGGCCGCTGTTCGTGGTGGGGCCTTGAAATCCGAAAACGATTGGCAGTGCAGAACAAATGTTTATGACAGGTCTGGGTACAAATTCACTACAGCCTCTCTTTGGCAAAAATAGATGATTGTGGAGTCTACATGCCTGGTTTTGCTGGCCTTTCATGACATGTTCGGTTTTGGGTAATTTTGTCATGCAAATGTGTAGCACCAAACGAATTGGAACGGCAACAAACACCACGTGTTTCTATCGAATGATCGTCATCGGCGTGAAGAATTTGTGCGCCCGACCGTCTTGCCCCGCATCCCACATCCAATGCGAGGCGCTCGTTCCACACGCGTGGCCTGGGGCTGACTTTCAACAAATCG